AATTACAGATGCTAATTAGTGCCACACACTCGGAGCTGCTATATTTTGGTATTGTATCAACAAAAATCCACCTCTGGAGTAACAAAGTGAATTCCTAAAACCCCCCTCAGGAATCTCTGTTACACACACCGCACAGATCACAGTAACTCTCTAAAATATGTAACACTATTTTAAGAATTTTAAACAACCAATCCTATGTGGAAGATAAGCACAGTTGAACTGAGAGAAGGAAATACCTGGAAAAGCTCAGCTTAATGCCCTAATTCCCAAGTCTCTGGGAATTCCCCATCCTCTTATTCTCATGATCTGTGCTCTTTTTTAGGAAAATTTCTCGTCCTATTTTAACATATTTCATGAATTTAAGATAAAGAATTAGCACTGCAAGGTTCAATGAAACAAAGACTCTTCAAAGGGTCCTGTGTGAAGTCTTTGTCTTGGCTGAGCAAAGCAATTGGGCTCCTGGCCAGACCCAGCCGGGTTTTGGGGATTCAGGCTCGGCTCTTTGCCCCAGGCAAGTATCCCGACTATCAGATTCCCAAACAAGAACAAATCTGTGCTTCTAAGTGGCTGGGTTGGGTAGGCTTGGTGGTTTTTTGTTTCTTTTTCTTTTTAACCAGAAACTCTTTTTGGAAGATGAAAAGACCTTCACAGCCAGACTTTCCCAATAACTTCTACAACCCACTTAAATGCTTCCATTAAAAGGAAATTAGGAGAGATTAACGCTTCCTGATTAACACTGTTTCCCATTAATTCCTCGATCCAGCTCTGAGACAGTTTATTTGAAGAACGGGGGAAAAGCTGCCTTTGGTATCAGCATTCAGTTCTCAGTCTCAGAGTCATTTCAGGGTAAGTGCAGGTAAAATGTTTGGCTTTGATATCCACTTGATAGTGCAAGTCTGAGAAGGGGCTTGAGACTTTCTGTTGTAAGAAAGTGGAGAGAATAATTTGCCTGCATCTCAAAATAAATCATGACTAAGGCATTCAGCTTGTTAGTTTGTTGGTATTCACAATGGTTAACCAACACCCTCTGTGACTCAATGCCATTATTAAACTGATAACTGCATTAACAGATAGAAAGGCAATGGACAGACTCAAAGGAAACATTCCAGTGCCTGTGAAATTATTACCAGTGTCATGAGCCAGCATTCCTGCCCAATGGAGCAGATTCTTTTCCTCACTCCCACAACCCTGGGCTGCTTCCTCCCTGTGCTAAAGCAAGAATCCATGTGATTGCATGTGGAAATGATCAAGATTAAAACTGACCCAGCAGAAGAAAAATAAATGGTTTCCACCCAGAGGAGTTCCCGTTTTAGTTCACTGACCAAATGAACACCTCTACCAGCTGATAGCCAGGGGCATCTTTGCTTCCTTAAGAAAAAGTGGATGAAAGGGACTGTGAAACAAAGAGCTCCGAATTTCACATACTTTGACAGTGTCTCACATGTCCTTTAAAGCCACAGACTGGGCCAGTCTCTACAGACTTCTGTCAAGAAAAGCCCCAAAGCAGACACAAGCCAGAAACCAAACACAGCAGCAAATACCAAATGCTCAGCATAGTTTCTATACCTCTCCTTAAAGTTACACAGCCAGAGATAGCAGAGAGTAAATATTGAAAATTATTACACCTCTTCTTGTGCTGTGCTTAACACACATAACTGGAAGGAAGCTATCAAGAGCGTCCTGTTCACACTTAATCCAAAAATGCAACCTACATTGTTTTCCACTTAGATCACCTCCCCTCAAACTTAATGGCCCAATGAACTACTGGCAACCCTTGCACTGAAACTTATTAAGTCCCGTAACTGTTACTATTTAATAACAGGCTGTGAATCCAAGCCAGAACGTTTCTTTAGCTCTGTGTGTTATTGCTGGAGAACCACTGAATTAGGTACAAAAAATTCAGATTTCCATTTCACAGCCATCTAGTATTTTGGGGGGTGTTTTAACAGCAGAAGCATAATTGACAGTAGATGCATCTGAGCTACCATTCATAGACTCCCCTGGAAATCGCTCGGTCCCTGGCAAACAGCCTAAGAACCCATGAAACAGGTTTTCATACAAACATCCTCTTCCTTTAGTCCTGAGCATCACTTAACATAGAAAGACCAGGATGAAAGCTGGATCCCAAACATCCTGGCGTGGGTTATGAAGGGATATGTACTTATTACTGGCAGCCAAGACCTGGGGGCGAAGGGAAGCAGGGTGAGCAGGGCAGAGGCTGCTCCAGCAGCACATCCTCGCTCACCGGGACGGCCACCCCAGAGAAGGGTGGCTCCGACTTCCCCCCGAACCCTGACACCAGCCCTGCGCTTGACACCCATTTCAGCACGGCCGGTTGGTCGTGGAGTGTTTTTCCTCCGCTCTTTCCCTCCTCCCCTACAAGTCAGGGCATAGCCAGGGCTTGAGCCAGGAGCACTCCCGGGTGCCCCGAACCGCGGCGCCGCTTCGGACGCCGCTCTCCGCCCGGCTGTCCCCGGGGCTCGGCGCCCGCACTCACCCCTTGTAGTAAGCTTTCACCCGGACCTGGTGGGCGCTGTCCCCGCCGAGGCTGCCCCCGAGGCCGCCCGGAGCCGACATGGTGCTCCCGGCGGCGCCGTCCCGCTGTGTCGGCATCGCCGCCCAGGCGGGCCGGGGCAGCCGCAGGCTCGGAGCGGGGGAGCCGCAGGCTCGGAGCGGGCCGGGGCGGCGGCTGCGCGACCCCCGCGCCTCCAGCGCGCCCCGCCCGCGCCGGGCGGCACCACGCGCGGGGGCGGGAGGGGACCGCGCAGGAGCGAGAGGGAGCGCGGAGCGGTGCGAGGCGGCGCGGGAGGGCAGCGCAGGATTTCCCCCGGCGGGGCGGAGCAGGCGCCCGGAGAGCGGCCGGGCGGCAGCTCCGCCACCCCGGGATGCGGCTGTCCGTCCCGTGCGTGTCCCCCTGCGCTCTAGATGGGCTCTCTCCGACGGGACTCCACACCTGTGGAGCGGGATGCTCCACGCCGCAGCGGAGGGGGGGCAGCGGCGGCACCCGGGAGAAGGTAACCGGCAGCCCCGTAGCGGAGCCGCCGCAGCGGCCGCTCCCGGTCAGGCGGGTGCGAAGGCTCACGCAGGTCCCTCCGCTCCCGCCGCAGCGTCCGGAACCGGGGCAACACCGCGGTGTGTGTCACTCCCCCACCCACAGTTGGTACGGCCCAACGCGAAGCATGGCGGGGCTGCGGGCGGCCGCGGCGCCGGCGCGGCGGGAGCGGAGCGGGATGCGGATCGTGCGGTGCCTCTGCCGCGGGTGGCTGCCGTGATAGGGAGCCAAGGAGGAAAACTTGTTCTACCCAAGTACCGATGGAGCTGATCCCCAGCAGCGCGGGCAGCAGGGGATTCTCCACCTCATACCGAGCACCTGCAGTGCTGGGGTCCTGCTCTGCGGTCTGTCCATCCACAGAAGAACGTGTTGCTGCTGGAGTGAGCCCAGAGGAGGCGAAGGAGAAGGTCCAAGAATCGAAGCTCCTCTGCTCTGGAGACAGCCTGAGAGGTTGTTCAGCCTAGAGACAGAAAGGCTCCAGAGAAACCTTAGAGCCCCCTCCAGTGCCTAAAGTTGTCTCCCAAGAGAGCCGGCGAGGGACTTGGACAAGTGCATGGAGTGACAGAACAAGAAAGAATGGCTTTAAATTTAAAGAGAGAACTGTTAGATTAGATATTAGGAACTAGGGGGTGAAGCAGGGTGGTTAACAAAAGGTATTTTATTAAAGCTGCAAATCATAAGCCACCTTATCACTGCAAGCAATCCTGGAGGACTTCCAGGAGTAATTCAGAATGGGTCATCATTCTTCCCACACCTTTATTTTTAACCTATGAAAATTCTCATTTTCTCCTGCTGAATTAGAGAAAGAATATAGAAAGAAGACATCCTCATTAGACCTGTGGGGTTGTCACTACTTGTCATGGGCATCTCACCTGTGCTCAGAGCAACTGTTTCGCCTGTCAATAGTTTAAGCTCATCTCTAATGCCTTGGCAGGTATTTGAGTTTTGTTAGACACTTGCTGAGTCTCTCTTCTTTGCAAAGAACTTGTGTATCCCAACTAGCTGTTAAGTATCTGTCAATTTTCCCCCCTTCCCTTCTTAGAACCAAAGAATCATTTAGGCTGGAAAAGACCTCCAAGATCCCGGAGTTCCAACTTTTGATCAATCCCCACCTTGTCAACCAGAACGGAGCACTGAATGTCATGTCCAGTTGTTCCTTGAACACCTTCAGGGATGGGGACTCCACCACATCTCTGTGTAGTCTGCATCAAATGGACTTCCATTCCAAATGGAATTCCAAAACTCCATTCTGGGATCCCCCAGTGTGGCCCCCACATCCGACCTTTCCATGGGGATCCCTCAGGCTGGCTCCTGTGGTGATGGCCTAAGAAATATCAGGATCATCATGTCCAACTTTTAACCCTCCACAGAACATCTGCAAGAGCCACACCATGTGCATGCGTGCATTGCCCAGACACTTCTTGAACTCTCTCAGGCATGGCAGGCACAGAGGATTTAGCCTGAAGGCACCTCCCAAAGTCATCCAAATACAGGCTTTCTGTACTTACAGTACAGTAAAGAGTTTAGGTGTGTATGTATCAGGTGCTAAAAAAAGGAGGTATGATGCGAAAGAGACGAGGGATAATTAACTCATATTCACACAGTGCCTTGAGCTGGTGAGTGGCAGGAAGGATGGAAGGAAGCAAGCAAAGCCTCAGAAAGGAAAGAGATGCTCACACAGTGATTAGGATGGATGCACTGCTACCAGTGTCTGAGCAACAGCTGCTAAGTGTAGGAGGCACTTGAAAGAGGTTCCCTGTTTTGTTACGCAGGGAGGTCGATAGGTTATTTGGGCTGAAAACACCGCATACTTCAATTCCCCGGCCCCTCCGCGGGTCTCCCTCAGCCCCGGCCCCTCACGGGCGCCGCCAACATGGCGGCGGGTCCCGTCACGTGCGCGGCGGCGGCCGCGCCCCGCGCGCGCGCGGCACCTCCCCCGTGAGGGAGGCGAGAAAATGGCGGCGGCGGCGGCGCCTTGAGCGGCGCGTCCCAGGCGAGTGTCCCGGCGGGGCGCGCGGAGCGCGGGCAGCGGCAGCCGCGGGGCCCCGGCCGGGCCGCGGGGGCGGGGAACCTGCGCCCTGACCGCGCCCCGGCGCCGGGCCGGGCCGGCCCCTCCCGCCCGCCTGCCTTTGCTGTCCTGAGGGGGCGGTGGCGGGGCCGGGCTGGGCGAGGCGGGGGCTCAGGGTGGGTCAGCCCGGCCTGGGCGGGGGGCGGCCGGCCGCGGGGCACCGGGGCCCCTCGGCGCGGGGCCGCTGCTCCGCATGCCGTGGGGTGTATTCCCACAGAGCATACCTTCGTTATTATTATGATTTTATTATTATTTCGGAGCTCTCTGTCAAATACCGGAATACCTGTAAGGGTTAGGCTTGGTGGAAATTTTTATTTAATTTGGGGTTTTTTGTGGTTTGTTCTCTCGGAGTTGCAGGGAGAGGTTGTGAATTGAAAAAAAAAAAAAAAAGAATAAACCATGTGGTTGTGGATGGTTGTGGTTGTGGATGTGGGTTGTCAGCGGGGTTTGTTATTACCATGGCATTTACCGAAACTTTCCAAAACATGAGTAATGACGTTCGTGTGTCCACTGTGAGGATAGTTTGTTAATTGGTATAGGACAGCAGGTTTTTGTTGTTTTTTTTTTTTTTTTACTTCAGGTGGTTGCTTTGACTAAGAAAAATATAAAGAAACAAAACTTTGGAGTATCTACCTTATGCACAATGTAACTTGAAGTTATGTAGTATCTTGTATTGTTACTGCTTGAATAAATACGTATTTTCAATAGAGTTTTCTGTTGTGCTTTATATTTTGGGCTCACTTGAATGTGTAGTGATTGTTTCAAGTCAGTGTGTTTTCTAAAACTTACTTGGGATTATGGAGATTGTTTTGAGTTAACATTGCTCAGGGAGCATCATTGCAAGATCTTCATCATTAAGCAAAATTAATTTTCTTACAAGTTAGCATCTGATGCCTGCATGAGGTGAGGTGTCAGGGAAAGATGGAGATGCTGAGCAAAAATTTAGGAGCTCCTTACTATGCATCCTTTTTTCATTGTACATCCTTTGTGAGAACAACCTGAGCAATGACAATACTATTTTCTAAATAATTTTGAGCAAAAGGATTAACAGCTCTCACGGAATAAACTTGTGATGGATTAGTTATAAGTGGGATATGTTACATGTCTTGCTTATAAGACACCAAAAATGTGGCTGAGAATGAAGGAAATGAGACATCGAATGTTGTTTTAAGCTAATTTAACTGGTTGTATAACTCTGCAAAAACTAGCTAGACAAGTTGTAGGTGTAAGTATTTTGAGGTGCTTTTAATGTCCACTGAAGGAGACAGGATTTTTTTTTAATATACTTTTCATTATGTGAAATTAATGTAAAGTGGTTTTAGAAGTGATGCTGTGTTTTTTGCAGTTGGAGTGGGAACCCAAATGTGTTAACTTCTGCCCTGCTGTAGGTGCACAAGTGGCATCAGTAATGCACAACAGACCTGCATTTTAACAACAAATCATATTTTTTCTTCAGTTCTAATAGCAAGCATCTCTGTGTTTAAAGCATCCTTGATTGCCGCAAATTTTCCTTCATGGCAAAGTCCATGCAAGTGTCCAACACAGGGGCAGGCAGGAGGTGTTCAGGTGGCCGTGTGTGTGTTACAGTTTAGCTGTTGCAGGTCCCCAGGAGCTGCAGCACCGTGTGCAGCCCTCTGCAGAGCAGTTGTGTTTTGGGAGGTGAGGGTGGCAGCCTGGCAGTGCCCTGTTCCTCTTCCAGCTGTGTCAGTTCAAACTCCTGATTATATTCCCGTTTGATGCAGCGCCCAATGGGTGGTTTGTTAAGAACTTGGCAAAGCTGCTTTTTTTTTTTTTTTCTAGTACATTGCAGCTTTCTCTGGTTATTTCTCTGAGCCCCTCTTCATGGTGAGAAGGAAACATCATCTCAACCCTCCCTCTTTTTGGCATCCTTTGGGAAGCAATAAACAGCTACTCTGTGATTTCCTGTTAATTGTAATACAAAGACTGAAAAAGAAACTGCAGTAAACACCCCCATAACATATATTGAGGTTTGTGATTCATTTCAGTTATAAAGATGACATTTTGTGCTCTGCAACAGAGGGAAGCCGCATAAGGCTGGGGAGGATCATTTGAGGCGCCTAAATAGGTGGTTTCTTCTTTAGTTCTTGCTGTATTGTGTGAGGTATTGCTGTTAAAAGGATTTTTTCCTGTTTCCTTTCCCTCTCTCCCCAAACAGAGCATTTCAGTGGGGATTTTTGCCAAGAGCAGGTTTTGCTCAGTGTTCAGGTCAGCCAGCACATCCATTCCTGGGCTGTGGGGGTGAGGGAGGTGCTACTGGTTCTGTGCAGCTGGCTGGAAATCTTGGATGTATTCCTAAATTGGTTCTTTATTGCTACTTTTGATGGATCTTAGATTATAACTACATCTCTCAAGAGATTGCATCAAGTAATAGCAAATGCTACAAACTAAGATTAGTTATTAAGAAATTCTTTACTATAGGATTGGTGAGGCCCTGTGGATGTTGTGGCTGCCCCTTCTCTGCAAGTGTTCAAGGCCAGGCTGGATGGGGCTTGGAGCAGCCTGGTTTATTGAAAGGTGACCCTGCCATGGCAGGGGGTGGGACGAGATGGTCTGTGATTCTGTGAAACTTACCTTTTGGAAATAGTCCATGTTTCTGTCTCAGCAAAACATGTTTTTGCCCTAAAATCAGCACGTTGTGGCCTTGCTTGTGAACCACTTGTGTGTCACCCCTGGCAGGCTGGACAAACGCTGCTCAGCTATGGAGAATGAACCCAGCACAACGACGTGTTCTGCACCCACCACGACCGTCACCACCAGCGCCACCTCCCGCCCGCCGCTGCCGCAGATCTCCGTGTACAGCGGCTCCGACAGACATGCTGTGCAGGTACTGGGCCTGGGGCTGCCTCCTGTCCTGCACACAGCTCTGAGCACAGGCTCTTCGCTGGGTTAACTTGTCATTCCTTATTGCTGGCTTGCTGGTTTGCAGGAGATGTTTACTAGATCACTTAGGGATAGTGCAGGGTAGGCCTGTCTCCCAGATAAGGGAAGGGGAAATGCTGTGATAGAAAGTTTGGTTTGTTCACCATTTGCTGAGGGTGCAAATTACATAAACCTTTGCAAAATAAAGGTTTTTGTTTGACCAACTTTGATCCAAGGTATCTGTGTGGGTAAGTCCTGCTTGGGATCCAGCTCCCTCTTGCTGTTCTTTAAATTAGGTCTCCTTGAACTCTGTGCAGTCCATTCTGTTGTGTTTGATAATTGGGTTTCTCACCCACTAGTCTGATCTCTCAGAAAGCAGAACATGATGTAGGATGTGTTGACAAGCAGCTGAGAGGCTGGGAGGATGTGTTGGGGATGATGCTGTATTGTCAGGCTGTCCTTGAGAATGTGAATATGTTGATGTTGACAATACTCTGTGACTTGGTCAAGGACAGTGAGGGAGCAAGTTCAGTATGACATAATTGGTGTGAAAAAATTATTGGCTTTATTTCCTTGTAAGGATAAACTTAAATATCATGTCAGCATGGTGAGTGCTTTGTAATTGTAATTAATTACCTACTGATTCATCACAGGTTATTCAGCAGGCCTTGCATCGTCCTCCTAGCTCAGCTGCTCAGTACCTCCAGCAGATGTATGCAGCCCAGCAGCAGCACCTAATGCTGCAGACTGCTGCTCTGCAGCAGCAGCACTTAAGCAGTACCCAATTTCAGAGTCTGGCAACTGTTCCACAGGTGAGAGTGAAGATTGCTGAAAAAGAATTGGGAATTGTCTAGAGCAGAGCTACAGTCGTTGTCAAACTTTATAACAGCTTAAGTGCCTGAGCTTAATGCCTCATGATAATTCACTGTTATATTGTAATGATGTTGTTATTTTAAATTGTATCATCCTCCAAACTGTTTGGAGGATTTTGTCCAATGGTATAGATGCTCCAGTAGGCAACCATTCCATGCTTTATTGCATACATTATAATGCATCATGTAAATCATCAAGCAGTAATAAAATAAATATTAAAAATAGACTACTTCAATCTTCATCCCATGATTTTCTCTAAAAGTTGATGGGGGAAGCAATGAATGGCATTGTATCTTAGTGAAATAAAAAATAATGAACATCTGGCATCTTAGTGTGTTTTGCCTCACATCTGGCTGCATTATAAGTAATGGCAAAATTAAATTTCAACCCTGAGTGTGAAAATGTAGGAGGTAGATGACATTTCATATCTGAAACACAGATTTTAACATCAGTGATCACTGGAGGAGACCCATTTGGAATTAAATCACTGGCAAGGTTTCCTTTGACCTCAGTTTGCCTTGGATTGAGAGTATGATCTTGCAGAGAGGTGATTGTTAATGATCTTACACAGGGAAATGCTAAATGGAGTTATGGACCTCAGGGATGTGGCTGCTTGGTGTCAGAGCTGGACTGACTCATTTTTGCTCCTGGCTTTTTCTTCTATACCTTTTTCATTCAATTGTGGTAATATGTTGATTTGTCTTTTTTTGTTGTGATTGATTTCTGTGTGGAGATACAGTTACTGAGCAAAGAAAATCGGGTCGGGAAAGGCTGAGAAGTTTGGATTCTGTTCATACAGAAACCTAAATCACTGTCCCTGTAACTCATCTGAAGGGCTGGAACAGCATCCTGTGGCAGACACTTCATGTGCATACAAAAATTACCATTCCAGAATATGAGGCTGTTCTGTACAGCATTTGTATATTTTAGAAGATTCTAATCACAATAAAATTATGATGTGAGTTTTAATAATGATAGTTTTTTTTTATATTGCATTTTAAGTTCTGAGCACCATAGGTAGTGAAGTGATCACTTAGCTCCATCATTAGCAGTTTGGCAGACTTTACCTCTGATCATTTTTCTTCAGGTCTTGGTCTGAAAGATTTATATGTCTGAAATTTGGTAGGACTTCAAGGAACTTAGCACCTTGCAGGTAGCATCCCATAGTGCAGAGTGCACTCTATTCCCACTGAGTAAAGCATCACTGTTCACTCAGAGAAAGGTAAAGGTAGACAGGGCTGTTTCTGATGGTTTATGCAATAAAATGAACATCACTTAAGCACTTTCTGATTTCACTATTTGACACATATTCTTGCTATTTAGGCAAGCCTGTCAGGTGGGAGGCAATGTACTTCCCCCACTGGGAGTGTCACTCAGCAGTCAAGCGTGTCGCAGACCTCGGTACGTAACTGCACCAAGCCCTCCCTCCCTCCCAACCCTGCTTGGTTGTTATATGGCTACAGGGAAAAGCAGAAAAAACTAATAGCATTTCAGTTTGTATTGTTCAAGTTAATACTACAGACACAGGGAGCAGGGTGATGACTGTAGTCAGTGCTGGGTGCTGTGTGTGATTGTTCATGGCCAGTGTTGGCTTCCCAAGTGCCAGACCCCTCTTGATGCTCTGAGGGGCAGCTGCTCACTCCACAAGCACCAGTGGCTGTTCAAACTCCTGCAGAAATCACACCCTGAGCTCTCATCTCTTACATGATTTCTTACTGGATTTTCTACATTAATTTCTTTATTCAGGGCACTACTGTAGGTGAAAATCATAACTATGTATCAGGGATTAAATAGCACTAAATCTAAAGAATCCAAATCAATGCTCACATATATTTATGATACCGATTAAATGTTTATGAATATAGTATATTCATTCTTTTATTGATTATCATCTTTTATCATTCATCTTTTTTGCAGTTTCACTTCCCATATTCTAGGCATGTGCTCAGGTTTCAGTTGTGAGCAGCTCTGTGTTCAGGTCATGCTGTATTTCTTTAAGTTCCATTGTCAGACATGCACAGTATCTTCTGTACAGTTTTACAGCTGTCTGAAGTAGGATTTGTTAGTCCTGCAGACATCCTGCTTATTAATCACGCCCTCAAGCTGTTCATGACTCCAGTGCATAGCTTCAGTGATTTAACTGTGTATTTTTTTAAGCTCTCATAGCTTGGCTTGGCTTACAGTTGTTAAAAGTAAAACCATTTATTCATTAAACTTTGGAGGTAAATTCTATTAAGATGTCTGATGTTAAACTAAAAAACTAATTGGGCTGGGGTTTTTCAAGGAAATCTTTTAAGTAAGTGATGAAAAAGAGCTGGGCACTTAACTCTGTTAGACTGGTTAGAGAAAAAAAGAAAAATCAAAGACACAACAGCTTCTTTTTTAAGAAGATGCTAAGGAGTGGTTCTTGAGCATTTAATATGAAATTGGAGAAGGTTTTAGTCTTCTGTCATTTTTTAGTGTGCATATGTGAAATGAGGATTGAAAGTCCATATGTCGTGGCACAAGGAGGTGTCCTGATCAGGTTGCATAATAGAAGATACCAGTCCAAGCAGTTAATATATACATTTAAAGATCTTAAATATTAAAGTTCAGGTGTTTTTCTTAAAATATTGAAATCTCATTCTACATATTCAGTAAATGTGTATTTCTAGGTGACATATTTTTCAGACTTCCCATCATTGTTTATACTCATAACTGCTTATTATTAGTTACTGCAAAGTGGTTGCTTGCAGTTTAGGAATAAAAACATACAATCTTGCCAGAATCCAATTTGGTGATGATTAGCTCATATATTTTTGATATCTTCACAGTTCAGAGACTCCAACTGCCCCTGCCATTTTTATCAAGGGCTTTCTGGCTTTAGCCCATAGGGTGATGGAATTTCCATGACAGCAGCAATATTTTTGTTTCCTTAGATTAACCTCTCCACCTCTCCTACACCTGCACAGATAATCAGCCGCTCTCAGACCTCCAACACCACCAGCAGCAGCATCACCCAACAGACGATGTTGCTGGGCAGCACCTCTCCCACCCTGAGTGCCAGCCAGGCTCAGATGTACCTACGAGCTCAGATGGTAAGTTCTGATTACAGTCCTTGCAAAGTTTGTCTTTGCTCTGTCCCTATTGGAAGATCTAAGCTCTCTCTCTTAAATATGGGAGATATTGGGCAGCTCTTTTGTCTTTTTTTTTTCCCCCACTAATTTGTAGTATTGAAGGGAAAGTCCTCTTGTGTGCTTGTATGAAGGTTCATAGATGTGTTTATCTACCTCAAAGATTATTCTCAATATGAATAAATATATTATTATATTTGGTTTACATTATTCTCCTTTGTTTCTATTCTCTATTATTTTCTTGGTTTACTAAAATTACCATGATAAATAGTTCTTTAAATAAATTAATCTAAAAGTAAAAAAGTAAATCTTAGAAGCTGTACATCAGTATGTGGAAGTATGAATCTCTTTAAGATCCTGCATTTCTTTCACAGATTTTTAAAATTTCAGTCTGTTACCATGTATTTTTTTCTTGCTTAACAGCTTATTTTTACTCCTGCAACCACTGTGGCTGCTGTCCAGTCTGACATTCCTGTTGTCTCCTCATCCTCCTCATCTTCCTGTCAGTCTGCAGCTACTCAGGTGAGCTTGTCTAAACTGATTAAAGGTCTGCCCCATCAAGAGGGACAAAACTGAAAAGTAAGGAAGTGTTGTGCTTTAGTTTTTCTTGCTTTGCTTTCACCCCAGACCAGAGAGCAGATGAGCTGCTGGGGTGGCTCTGCCAAACTCCAGCTGAGTGACCTTCCCTGTGAAGGTGTGCTGAAGGATTTGTCCTCACTGGGGCAGGATGGCAGTAAATGCCTCCTGAATGGCAGTGAGGAAGAAAGCACAGTTGTCTTGGGTTTGAATGTGCCCTGTGGTGACACAGAGCAGTGAGAATGAAATGTAAACTGGCTGTTCATTACACAGGTTCCAGCTGTTGTGTGCAGCAGGGATTGTGTAATCTAAATAAGGAGAGGTGATAATAATTAGTCCTCTTTTTCTTGTAAAAGATGATGTAAATTAGTGCTACAGGGGTAGGCATTACCCTTGAAAATGAAATTTTAGCTCAGCACATAGGATTGGAGATCTGGGATCATTACATGCAGAATCTGGGTGTGGTAACAGCCTTCAGTGAAAATGATCTCTGACTGATGTACATTCCAGAAAGCAAATCTTTTGTTTCATGTTGCATTGGAGGTGTCTTGATGAGAAGGGAGGTTAATATTGGTTGATTTGGAGGTTAATACAGAAACAGAGGTCTCAGTTTTGTTTAGCACACAGATTAGCAGAGAAGACTCTGGTCCCACTGACCACCCAAGGCTCTGCTTTATGGTGGTGTCTGGAAGCTCACTCACAAACCACTGCACTTCTGCAGTGTCTGTGAAAATAAAATTGCCTTTGCTTAAGATGACTTGTGTCATTTACTTTGAAGGCACAATAAAAGAGAAAAATGAAAGTTTTAATTCAAATTAATTAACAATTTCCATTTCTTTTAAAAATCCAATAAGAGAAAAAAGACTTCTGTATTTATCACTAAAGTAATAAAGATCCCTATCCTCTAAATTTTATGGCTTTAAAGATACTTTGATATGCAGATTTTTAGCTTCTTGTGATCACATGGGATGAGAAGCATTACAAAATGTAACTTTTTTTTGCTGTTTTTGCCTGATATTTATCACAGCTATTTATAGAGTTTGGCTCTTGTCATGCTTTGCTCCTTTCCCAGGTTCAGAACTTGACGCTGCGCAGTCAGAAGCTGGGCGTGTTGTCAAGTTCCCAGAATGGGCCACCAAAGAGCAGCAGCCAAACCCAGTCTGTGTGCCCCAGCAAGGCTGGCAGCAGCTCCAAGGGCAGCTCAGACCCCCCAGAAAGCAGCAGGAAAGGAGAGAGCCCCGCCCCAGAGTGCCGCAGCACGGCCGTCACACGCACCTCCAGCATCCACCACCTCATTGCACCAGGTGGGGGCCGTGTGGGGCTGTGGGGAGCCATGCTTCTGTCACACTTCAGTGTTCTCTGACATCTTGTTATAGATATTCCACAGGAACAGAGTTCAGATTTTACTAGTAAATTCACTTTGATGTTGCACAGGATTTTGATTAAGCAGAAGCAATAACATTCTTAAATCACAATTCAAGCACAATATAGCAGCTGCAATACCCCGTTGAGTCACAGCACAAACGTGATTCTCATTCTCTCTCTGTATGTTCATTGTCAGGACATGCCATCCCATCTCTGGGCAGCAAAATGTGGGCTGAAACCACCTCAAGCCTCTTGCTCCCATCTAAATCCATTTTATTATTACAGCGACCTGAGGAGGTCACTTGGTGGTGAGAGAAAGGACGAGAATTTTGTTTCTTGATCAGAAGGCTGGATTTATTGATATATGGTATATAATACATTATAACTATACCAATAGGAATAAAGAGAGAAGTTGCAGAGGCTTGCTAAGTTAAGCTAAGAATAGAAAGAATCTAAAACAAGAGAATTCTCTGTCCCTGTGTTCCAGAGAGCGTGCCCTGTGATTGGCTCCTATACTATACACATAGAACATGAACCAATCACAGGTGCATCCTATTGCATCTCACAGCAGCTGATAACAATTGTTTACATTCTCTTTCTGGGGCCTTAGCTTCCCAGAAGATGAACAAATCTGAAAGAAAAGATTTCTATGAAAAAATGTCTGCGACATTTTATTAGTGGTTTTTTTCTTTTTTCTGTGTTGTCTGTGTCATGTGAATGTTCTTATATCAAGTATTTTTATAAGCACATAGGTAACAATGCTAAAATTTCAGTATTTTGTATCAAGATAAATCAAAATAACCTGTACTTGGTTAGAGAGGCACTTACACTGCATGCAGCATATTTGCATCTCAGCTTTCTTATTTTGGACAAGTGATGGTAGTCTAGACAATTGGTCTGAATTCTGTGGAATGTAGCTTGGCTTAATGACAGCTTTTAGAGAAAGAGTGGGACTTGGAGGCAGACATTTTAGAGGTATTGAGCTCTATTGCACTCAGAACTCACATTGGTAAGAAAAAATCCCATAATTAATAGCAGAACAAATCAAAAAACCTACATAAATGAGTTGTTTCCCAAGTGGATAAAACAAAGAAGAGGTTTGCATGTGGAGGAAAATGTGTGTGTGCTGTAAGAAATGGCTGGTGAGTCACTGGTTTGCTTAAAGGTGATGATTTCTCTGCAAGCTGCACTATTTTTAGGTTTGTGCCTCTCAGTTGCTGTGTTCAAGTTCAGGCAAATGCTTTCAACGGTTTAAATTTATACTAAACTCTTGGAATTTTATTTAGTCTCTTAGCATGGTATTATCTGAGGTTTCACTTAACAGTTATCAGCAAATCCTGTTGTGCTTATCATTTCTCTTCCAGTCTGTTTCAAAGCAAAGGTTAAATCCATTTAAAGTTGTGTGAAATTCTTAAATAAGGCTGGATCAGCAATAATCTTAGACCTAGCAGCAAAAAGATAAATTTAGATACTTCTTTATAGAAAGTGTCTTTCTATATGTAAAAAGCATGGCCGTATTCATTTGTTCATTGCTGCATTTTGCTTTAGAAATTGAAATACTACCCTAATAAATTGTTATTGTGTTCTGTGTGCTGTCAAAGAAGATATTTTTAAACAAATATTGGAAGTATTAAAAATATTTTAAAGTGAGAGTTTTGGAGGTATTTTACAATATTTTCAGAACTTTAAGAAATAGATACTAATTTTAATAAATACTTTTTTCCCTTCCCTCACAGCTTCATATTCTCCATTGCAACCTCACTCTCTAGTAAAACATCAGCAGATCCCACTTCATTCACCACCTCCAAAGATCTCGCATCACCAGCTGATCCTGCAGCAGCAGCAGCAGCAGCAAGTGCAGCCGATTGCGCTGCAGACTCCTCCGGGCCCGGAGCCGCCTCCATCCCAGCACTGCCTGCCCCTGCCCAGCCCCGCGCCCAGCAGCGCCCCGTCCCACTGCTCCCCCATCCACATCCACCCTCCGCCGCTCACGCTGTCCCCCACCCCGTCCCAGTCAGCTCAGCAGTCGGTGGTGGTCTCCCCTCCGCCGTCGCACTCCCCGAGTCAGTCGCCCACCATAATTATTCACCCTCAAGCCCTTATCCAGTCCCAGGCCAGCTCCCTGGTGCCCGCGGCTCTGCAGGCCGAGCCGGCCGCTCCCCCGGCGGCCGCCGCCAACCCCGCGCGGCCCTCGCAGCCGCTCGGCCTCCCGCAGCCGCTGCCGCTGCCGCCCTCGCCCGCCGTGCACATCGGGGCCGTGGAGCCGCCAGCCTTGGTGTCCCCGGGCCAGCAGCTCGTGTCCTCCGCGCCACACCAGCAGTATCCAGCCCTGCAATCCGCTCCCATCCCTCTGGCGGCTCCGCCTCAGCTCTCGGCATCCTCAACTCAGATTCAACCGCTGCCCCTGCAGTCTGTGCAGTCTTTACAAGTGCAGCCTGAAATTCTGTCCCAGGGCCAGGTTTTGGTTCAAAACACTTTGGTTTCTGAGGAGGAACTTCCCGCTGCAGAGGCTTTGGTCCAGCTGCCGTTTCAAGCTCTTCCTCCGCCACAGACCGTCGCAGTAAATCTGCAGGTGCAGCCGTCGGTTCCGATTGAAACTCCGGTGGTGAGTGATAACATTGCATCCTTTATTCTTTCCCTGAGTCAGGCCCGTTGACTTCAAAGCGACCTGAATCAGGTGCTAGACAGTGGACAAGACACCTATTGATTATAGAACTGAGTTTTGAGAAAATCCTAGACATTTTCCTTCTGTTTCATGTTTTGGTTTGGGGTTTTTTTGTTGGCTTTTTTGTAATGGATCATCAGTCAAGAATATCAACCAGGAATCGTGAAAATGTAAATTTAAGATCTAAAATCTTGTTGCTTAATGAAATTACAATGTCTTTGAAGTTTAAAAAAGTAAACATATGACAATGCTTACATAAAGAATTTTGGTAAATGGGACATGAGGACTGTAAACTTTTACCTCAATACAAACAGATTTTGATTAGGAGAACAATCTATACTAGGTGGGAGGTGCATATCAGGTTATTAAGATGATAGGTTTCTCGATTATTTATTTTGTACTAACATTAAAAATATCCCCTTCATAAAAGAATAGGGGAATTTTGATGCTGTTTTGGCAATTCCCATCACCACCATTTAATTTGGTCCAGTGTTTGTCTCAGATGTCTACAATTTGTAATTGAGGGTTTTGCCTTCAATCACTAGATTAAAATGATGTACAGGAAAATGAAATGTTATGCAAATAAGGCTGACATTTAAGATGGCATTGCTGAGCTTTAGTGGTAAAATGCTAAATGAGATTAAGATGAGCAAAAGAATCAGCAGCTCTTGTAGGCTTTTTTGAGGCTATCAGCAGGTTAAGGAAGGAGGTGTGCTGTTCATTTTCAATTTATTTTAAGAGGGTAATAATCTCAACTCTGTTATTTCATGGAGAAATTGGACAAAAGAGTAGGAGCCAGGTTTGCTTTTGACAGGGTGGTGTTTTACATTTTAATCTGCTGTCAGGAATTTATGTAAATTTATTTCAATACTTTTGAGGGAAAGACCTTAAAACCTCTTATAACCACTAATGCTTGATAGTCTTGGTGTACTCTTCTGAAATACTCAGCTTGATTACACTGCTGTGTAAGATAGAACAATTTGCAGACTTGTCATTAAACTTGCATTTTGCAGATGTATTTAAATAACATCAAATGTATGTGTAAATAAAAAGAACAGTAAACTATACACATAAGATATTGAAACAGGTTCTCTGCTCTGTTTGATTGGAGCTTCTTTATGTACTGCTGTTTGTAACAAAATACTTCAGTTTTGCTGTCATAGATATTGTGATGTCCTCAGAGTTCATTGTTTGGTATGCATTTTGGGAACTAGTATTTTATTAGAAGACTAACATATTTGACCTGGTAATTGATTTTTAAAACTGTATTTATGCAACTCTTTTAAGGTGTTAAGATAGAATGGAAATCTCTCTAAAGCAATAGTTTGTTGGATGCAGATTTACCAAGTGGAGAATGTGTGTGAAGAGGAGATGCCCGAGGACTCAGATTGTGTGCACATGGCGAGAACACCCACACCACCCACCTTGTCCCCACCAGCCATCACCTTGGGCAATGGAGAGGCTCTCAATTCAGAAGATCCTTTGTCAGGTGATGACAAATGCCAGGCTAAGATAGCTTTTGGTTTTGTGATTTGTGTGAGTAATTAATGGCTAACTATGTTTGTAGCTAGCAGGTACTGAGTAAAAGAAGATGTTTGCATGAGGAGGGTGTGTTTGTGGAAGAGTCTGTTGAGATAAACCATCTTGTTTTAAAAGTGGAATCTGTGAAGCCTAGGGAAGAGCCTGTGTTAGGGGTTGATGGGTGCAGAGATGGGTCTTGGGGATTTATCACCTCTTATTTCCTGATTCTGAGCCAATGGTTGGACATGAGTGATAAAACATAACATATTTTGTTGTTTTTTGCAGAACATGGGGGACTGCCTTCAGTGACATCATCAGTCAGTGCCTCAGTAATTAAATCTCCATCTGATCCTTCCCATGCCTCTATTCCACCACCCCCTCTTTTGCTTCCAGCAGCAACGACAAGGAGCAACAGCACCTCCCTGCCCAATAGCATTCCCAGCCTAGAAAACAAACCTCCCCAGGCTATTGTTAAACCCCAGATCCTGACCCACGTCATCGAGGGCTTTGTCATTCAGGAGGGGTTGGAGCCATTCCCTGTAAGTCTGAATTTGCTAGGAATTTTTTACTACTAATCTTTGAAATTTACTCTTTGTAAGAATGATATTATTTGTGGCTAGTTGATATTTAGATCTGGAATTATGTTTCAGATGTTGGTTTTGCCTTCTCTCCACTGATTGGTGACTTGAGTAGTAGTAGGCTATGTCTGGAGATAAGTACAGAGAGTGGGTTTAGGTTACTACTTGGAAAACTTTTTTACATTTGTCTGCCTCCTAGATCCCTCTATTTAAGTGATACCTTAATTTGAACCTCAGAGCTGAGTCTGTTAAAATTTTAAAATGCTACAATTTGTTGTTTTAAGCACTGGCAAGCTCTTAACTGGGCTAGGTGTAATTAGTGCAGTGTCTGGTAAGAAGCACTGTTGAAAATTTTAAATCACAAACTGACAATTCAAAGCCTGTCTTTCTAATTTAATGTGTGTCTCATTTTCCCATTCCTTCATTTCTGTAGATATAATGCGTTTCTCCCTTTGTTAAATATAATTGCAAACTCTGCAGAGCAGGAGTGAGTCTTAATTTCTTTGAGAAATGAGCTTTGTTCCGATATAATTACACTTCATTGATATGAGGTAGAAACTGATCATCTTCTACTGAGAAAACTGCAAACAAATATTGTTTGTAATAATTCACTCTTGTGAATCATGTTAATTACCCACAGTTGCTTTGCTTTTGTTGCACTAGGTCAGTCGTTCATCTTTGCTGGTGGAACAGCCTGCAGAGAAGAGATTGCTGGTGGAGGGTCAGATCATGAGTGTGGTGTGTGTTGAATCAGACTTGCAGAACACAAAACATGCAGACAACTCCTCAGACACAGAGATAGAGGATATGATTGCAGAAGGTTTGTAGTTTTTGTTTAAATGCCCTTTCCCCCCTCCAGTTCTGTGTGCTATGAAATGGGAATCAAATTGTGGCCTGGCCCAGAAAAACCAAGTTATTCTGTGAACACACATTTTTGTATAAATTCATCTAAGATTTGAAAGTTCAGAATTTTTTTAGCCACCCCTGGGTTTTCTTTCCCACAGCTTGTATCCTTATACTATCAGAGCTGGTTTGGGTGATCTGCTTAAATTTAGTCTCAATGAAAGTCTTTCTTTCATTCTTCTAAAAGATTTCTATTCCTTCTTCCAAATCAAAACTCTTTGCAGCAGTCATTTTGTCCATAATTTGTTTCATTAGATATTAATTCAAATTTCTTTTCAGTATGAGCACTATGCTGAGTCTCGGATTTCAGGCAGCTTGTCTGTTTTGTGCAATTATCCAAACACTCATAGTTTTAGGTTGAGTTTTTGTTTAGCTTCTTGCAGCTGGTGTTAGGTTTATGTAGAGAATTTGTAACTACTCATTAGATGAGCTGGTAGGTGACATCCAACATAGAGACATATCCATGTACACACCACGTGAGTAGAGGAGATTTGCTGATAGTAAATCAGGGTATGATTGTGTGTGTGGCAGAAATACCTTCTCAGTATTTCCAGCTCTTTGCTGCACTAGTGCTTTTTGTAGAGTAAGAAAAGGGCCATCTCATCAATAAGAGAAAATACTCTGTAACAATAAGCTGTAAATTAGCAGATGCAATAATCCTTTTCTTTGTTGCATGCATCTTATCTTTTTCATAGATTGAATGTTACATATATACAAGATTCAATGTGTTCTTTGCTTTCACAAATCCCTTTGGTTGTAGCAGCTGCTTCTTCAAAGAAAGTACTTTAAAAGGTTAATTCATTATGCTGTTACAGAGTTTGCATTTATACTGTGGAAGGCCTGATTCTTGTAATGAACTCTTTATGAAGCAATTCATGAGGAATGCTACCCTTCTTTTTTAATTGCTTGCTATGTTTGAGGGCAGACCTGCTCATGGGTGGCTTGAAATTCAACAAAAAACTGATTAAGTTCATTGAATAACTTAATTGAAGGTTCATTAAGGTTTGGTTTGCTCAAGATCTTTTCTAGACAGAATGAAATCTATGACTTGCTTAGCTTTGCATAATTGTCTGTTAATCAAAGTATTTAATTGAATGCGTTAAATATTTGAAGATCTTTTGCCTGCTTGAGGTGAGAGATGTGAACATAATTTTGTGTCATTGAAACTGACTTTATTCCTCATTCCTTCTTTAGAGGGACTGGATGAAATTGAAAATGATCTTCTGAAGTGTGAATTTTGTGGAAAAATGGGATATCCCAATAAGTTTCTGCGGTCAAAAAGATTCTGCTCCACATCCTGTGCCAAAAGGTAACTCTATGCAGTTATTGTTTATAATTATCTGGCTAATGGATTAATCCCTCCTGGTTAAGAGAGCAAGAATTCACAGTCAACATCTGAATGCAAAATCTTCTATTGTAACAACTGGAAAGTTGATGTTTAATACAATAAGTTTTAGAAATGAGGAATAATTTCCCATTTCTAGTCACCACTTAGCTCTTCTTTGGTGTGTCTGGACATGACCTTTCTCATGTGTCTGCTCTGTTCCCATTTAGGTAGTGGGAATATATATATATGTTTGATTTGGTATTTCTTGGGACACCACCAGCAAAATAATCTTAAAGAGATTTAGTCCTTTAATCTTAGCATGGGATTTTTGCTTCTATCCTGCTTTGCCTGGGTATCAGCTAGGTAGAGAAAATGGAACCAGAAAATACAATGTGATTTTAGGTTTTTAGTGGACATTTCTGAGCAGAACTGTACTATGTGATAAAATGCAAAGGTATTTCTAAGAATGGGAAGGACAGACATCTTCCAGGGGTAATCTGGGTCTACTTGATCCCACAAGGAGATGAGGGTTTTGATGAAATGGCCTTTGAGATACCTTTCTCTTGTATTTCTGTGACAGCTGTTGTTGTAATTAAGCAGCATTTCTACAACACTGTGATTTTATGGTTACTTGATTGAATTCAGTCCAAAAAACCACTAGTGCATTATTGAATATATCTTACTTCTTTAGGCACAGCCTTAGTTGCACTAAGAAATTTGGGCTATTTCCATCAGACAAGACCAGTCGTTGGAATCGGAAGTCAGATAGCCAAAGTCTTGGGCGGCGCGGGCGTCGGCCGAGCGGCCCTGAGGGGGCGTCACGAGATCATTTTCTTAGACAGGTCTGTGGAACATTTGCTTAAAACTATGGCACTGCTTTGGGAATTGCAAATAAAGCCTAATACTGGAGTTGCTGCGTTTTCCAGCTTCCAATTACTTATCCATCTGCAGAAGAAGATCTGGCTCCTCACGAGGACGCTGTTCCGACGGCCATGACCACGCGCCTGCGGAGGCAGAGCGAGAGGGAGCGGGAGCTGCGGGAGCTGAGGATGAGGAAAGTGCCAGAGAGCATCGACCTCTTACCTGTGGTGCAGACTGACCCCTCAGTGTGGACTGTCGATGAAGTCTGGGCCTTTATACATTCTCTGCCTGGTATGGAAGGGGCAATAACTTGTTCTCTTGTTTTAACAATGAAGTTCCTTGCTTTATAGCAGCGCTGTGATGAGGAGGTGCTGTGGTAACAGCAGCAGTGTTAGCTGGTGATAGAGACTGGAATGTGATTTGTTTCCTCTTGCTTGTTCCTTCAGCACAAATCCCATGTTGATAGAACTAGTCCCACTTCTGCTGTTGCATCCCAGCTGATGGAGATTAGAGCTGTTCCTTCCTTCAGTCTGACTTCTCTCAAGAGGTCAGTAGAGAGATCAGACACGCTCCCTCTCTGTTACACTGCTTTCTTCTCTTCCTTTCTCACTTCCTCCTTCTCTTTCTTCCTTCCTTGCTGCTTATTCAGTAGAAAAAGCAAGAGCAGTGTTCCTTCCCTTGATACAACTGAAAAGTTTGAAACACCTGGCATGATACAAGTCATTAAAAAAGAATAAGCAAGTTTCTGCTATAAAGTTAAAATTTGTTTTGCAGCTTTGCTCAGAGGTCTTCTGCCTAGAAACTCAGCATACTGCTAGTCTCAGTTTGTTCTCAGAAAAAAAGAATATGGTTTTTTGCCTGTTCACAAACCTTTCCTTTAGATCACTATTCACCGTTACCTTTATGTCATCTTCAGGTTATTTGACATTTATAATTTCCTAACTCTCATAACCTTTAAAGCTTCACTTCCAACCTTTTCCCAAGGATGCCATTTTATCTGATCAGACACTGTAATCCCTACAGATAACAAGGCAGATCTCCACAGTAGCAGTCATACCAGAACTTTTCTTGCTTACCCATTAAAACCCAGGCTATGTTTGTTTCTAGTTTTCTACTTTTTTTGGAATGCTATCCCATTTTTTGTGTATCCCATTAGACTATTAACCTGTAAGGAATATATCTTCACTGCTAAGTCATACACATGCATTATGACAGTCTTTGTAGTAGGTCAGGCAAAGAATTGTGTAAGAGGTGTTTAGAATTGGCAAAAGTCATCCTTGAAGTACCTTTCTGCTGATAGTTTATTGCAATTCAGTAACAATTCAGCTTCTGGGAACCTGCAGTGGTGGCTGTAGAAAGAAGCAAAGCTCCTTAGGTTTGGGATGTGGTCATTCCTGTTTCTGTACTTGAGCTGTGTTATGGAGTGTAGCTCTGTCACTGCTGTTTTCAGTTACTGTTTTTATGGATTCAAGACTCTGGTTAATTCAATAACTAATCCTAGGCTCTCAATAAATGGCAGTTCCTGTGCTAGAATAACTGAAGTGCCACATAAACACCATTCACTTGCAAGTATGAAACCAAAAATTTTATTCTTAAAATGTGTTTTCTGTTTTGAAACCATTACTTTTACAATATTTCAGCAGCTGCTGGATCTGGTTTCATTTTTTGGATTCTATAAACAAGGTGATCTTTGATTTTAAACAAACTTATATTTATTTGTATGTAATGAAAGTTTATTGTAATTATTCATTCCTCTCCATATGAAGGCCTAGTTTCTCAAATACTTTTTTTAGAAAGAAGTTCAATAGATATTTAAAGTTATATTCACAACCTGCCAGAATTTTTGTTGCTATGTTGCTGCATTTGGGTTTTTGGGTAATTTTGGGGTTTATTCTTTTCAGTATATTCTCAAGTCGCTCTCTTGAAAAAATATTTTATCATATACTTCCAAAATTGATTAATGCAGGAAATAATACAGATGATTTCCATTATGGCACTTTATATTCTTTATCTACTCGATGCAGTCTGTGCAGACCATCTGCCATGCTGTAGGAGATGGTGATTTGTCACTTTTCCATAAACATTAGGAACATCTGTTTTCATTTACAGCTTTCTGCACAGTCTGTAGCTGAAATGAACTTGTGTCCTTGTCAGGCTTTTCTGAGTTCCTCTGGAGCCTTTTGGAGGAGTCAATGTCCAGGACACTTTTTTGCCCTGTTAGCTGCTTCTTCTGGGGGAGGAGACAGAACAACTTAAGCTGACAGAATTGTTCTCCTTTCTGTCTTCAGCTGCAAGATAAATGACCTTTCACCAGCTCTCCACCCTTTTCTTTTGGCCAAGTTATTGCACAACAAGCAATTGCAAAAGTGCTTAAGAATATACCCAGATGTGCTTGGACGTGGGAACTGCAGTACCTTCAGCTTCCATGCTCTGCTTTTCCAAAAGTGACTTTGATAAAAAGTATTTAAGAAGTTGCACAGAAATTGCTTAAAGGAAAAAAGCTGGCAACAACAAACATCCAGTTTCCTATTCCAGTAGCACCAGTTTTGTTCCTAAATGTTTTGTTCCTAAACTTCTCCTGATCTCTCAGACTCTTTGTAAATGGTGTGGTCTGACAGTCACAATGTTCAGGTCTCAAATCAGACATGCCATGATACTTTCCCAGAAATACTCAATACTTGACTTACAGATCTTTTATCTGTTGTCAGCCCTTCAATGAGAAAACCTTTATGATGATGCCAGAGCTGATGTTACATGAGGTCTGTTTAACAGATCATTAAGGAAAAAAATGTGCTTTATTCTTTGTGAAAAGCTAACTTTTTCCAGCCTTGAATGTTACAACCTTCACACAGTAATAATCCAAATGAATTCATTTTTGGATGTTGATACATCCTTCCACATTTCCTTTCCATTTGCCTTGTACACATTTGTAAATCCTTCAGGAAATTAGGCTGTCTGTTCTTTATGGAATTTAAATCTGAACACACAAGAGAATATTAAATTAGTTGCTGTGATCTAGGTACAAAAGTTCTTCACAGTGATTTCATATCTCCATAATAGTGTACTTTTTAAAAGGGAAAATGTAAAAATGCTGAAAAATAAGCTTTCTTGAGAAATTATTGACATCAGGAATGGAAGGTGGAGCACAAATTCAAGTGTGTCTGAAAGGCTCTGAGACAGATGGAGAGACTGCTGGGTTGAGAACACAAATGTATTAAAAAACCCATTAAAAACATGGCTGGGGGAAAGAAGCTTCAAATAAACAACTGACAATGAGTGCTCTCATGGACATTAGAAAACATTCATCCATCTAACAGAGCTGCCATAGAGCCAGGCATAACTGGCTGATCCTGCTCAGCACACATCCAGAAGATCTTTGGAGGAACCTTTATTTCCACAGTGTTCCTCAGTGGAAAGGGGCCCTCAGTTACTTGGGACAGTCCAACCTATGTAGAATCTTTTTTTTAATGTTGTGATCTTCAGTAACCTGAGACTGGTATTTCATGTTGAGAAAAGAAGTTTAAATTGGGAAAAAAGATCCAACCAGTTTCAGGTTGCCCTTGTGAAGTGAGTTACTGCTGTGTGTAGAATATTCACTCTGATAACTAATGATAAATATCTTCATGAGATGGTTGTGCCAAATCCCATACATCAAAACTTTGTTTCCTTAGCTCTGTGGTGTAACACACAGATGGAATTAACTCCTTTTGGAAATTGTAGCTATTTGGATGTTCTCACTGTGCAGAGCAGTATAATATAGTTCTCATTTATAGAATTAGATAATAGTATCTTTTTATTGCTGGAAAGAACCCACTTGAATTATGTTCCTGATTGCTATTTCAGTGCTGTTTTCCCAATCTCTTCCAATGATGAGAGGTTGTTCCTCTTAATGAAATGAAAATTCTGTCTTTGCTGGGACTTGAAATTCCCAATGAGTAGTTCTCCAGTAAATACAGTGTAATTAGAGGCTGTAGTAAAAATTATTTTCATGTTATTTCAGAATTCCCATCATAATACTGAACTCTTGCATGTAATTTAGGTTCAACAAGCTAAAGGGATGTGCACTGGAAAATGTGTTGCTGAAAAGCTCTGGTGTGGACATTGGATCTAAGAATGGGCATTTCTAAACCAGTAATCATATTTTTTATTGCCTTTAGGTTGTCAAGATATTGCAGATGAATTTAGAGCACAAGAAATTGATGGACAAGCTCTCCTTTTGTTGAAGGAGGATCACCTTATGAGTGCAATGAATATTAAGCTTGGACCTGCATTGAAAATCTGTGCACGTATCAATTCCTTGAAAGAATCCTAGGAGGTGAACATGAAGGTTTAAACAAGAGTTTCTCAGTGACAGAACCAACAGTAATATGCCAACATCTTCACTGTGGCATGAGTGTTACTGTGATGTTTTGTTAAGTAGGTGGGACTCTCCCCACATAAAGACTTTAAAATGTTCCTTTGATTATACCAGGAGTCCTCTGTAGTTTTCAACAACTAATAAGTTTATAGTAAAGCCTGAGTAATGCTTTGAGTTGAACTTTTTCATGGAAAAACATGAAGTGAAATATGCTGTGCTAGGTTAGATATTCCCCAACATGTACTTCATTTTATGAGTTATGATTAACCCCCCAGTCCCCACCCCAGTCTAGACACCATTTAAATCGTGTTGCTGTATTCTGAAAGATTTTTCCCACATACAGCAGTGTTTGGACTGAACTAACAGAAGTGTCCACAGGCCCTGTGGAAGCACTAGTACCAGTAAAATGCTATGCATTTAGTTGTGCTCTCTGAGTTTGTTTTAGTCTTGAGCAAATTGTTTGTAAGGGGTAGGTTGGCAGCTGGTTTTCCTCATGTAGGCTTACCCTCATCTCTGCCACTATAGTATTTTCTTGAAGTCTGTAAAATACTATAAACCATGTAGATGTCTCATCAAAGTCCTCGTGATCAGGCTACTGACACTCCTGCCAGAGGTAACTGAAGCACATGTTACTTTACTCTTTGAATGCTGCTATGCACTAAGGGGGCATTAAGTGTTAGATTTGTAGTTTCACATGCTGCTAGTTAAGCTAGACCAGCAGTTCTCAAATGGGGGTTCAGAGTGGACCTTGAGGAAGAGTGTGAGCTCTTGGGGTTCAGGTTCCCAAATGCCTGGGTGTGAGGGGCTGAAAACTGCAGCCAGGACCAGCTCATGTTGAGACAAGTTGCTTTAGACACTGGGGGTAGAGAAGGGACAGCATAACTCAGATGTTCTTTTTCTTGATACCTCTTCTAACATCTTTTTCTGTAGTGCATTCCCATTGCCTCACTGGAAGCTTCCAAGCACCTTTTCCTTGTCCAGTGGCCACTGTGAGCTGTGCTTGCAGTGCTCTGAGGAAGGAGCAGTGAGGTCCCCTCAGAGCTTGTGCAGGAGCAGCTGCTGCTGCCATGAGGGAGCCTGGAGCTGCAGCTCAGCAGGAGGAATGCCAGTGTTGGCAGCTCTGGGAGAATGTCCTGGTTTAGTGCAAATTTGGGAGGACCAGGACAGAGAAATATCCTGCTTTGTCCCTCTGGCAGGAGATTTTGCCTTGGATGCTGCAGACCCAGGGGGTGGGATTTTAGTGTCCCCCTCCATCTGCCCTCTCTCCCGCTCTGTGGGACAAATACATTTCCCCAGTTACTGATGCTCGTGGAAGCTGCCTGGGCTCTGAGGCAGCAGCACCTTCTTGGCCTTTGCCTCCCCCACCTGTGCACGGATGTTCATGGATGTATTTTGTCCTTCTGTTCCCTCCCTTTTGCAGCTCCACTCCCCTTATGTACAGACCTGGATCCTTAAGCTCTTGTTTAGGGAAAGAAGGGTACGTGTGCTGATAGTCATTGTGTATATTTGAATTAAATATGTGTATGTGTCTGCAAATAATGTATTTTTTGTATTTTATGCAAATTAATGCATAATATATGATTGTGTAGGGAGGTATTCAGGGGGCTGTACAGTATTCCTGAAGAGAAGAGGAACTGACCTAAAGTTTGAGAACTGCTGCCCTAGATCAAAAGGAGTCAATGCACATACACTGGCTAAAAGGCAGGTTTGTGACAGACAGATTAATATGTATATTAACTGATGACCTTAAAGAGTAAATTTGAAATACAGAAAAATCTGTGCTTCATTTTCCTTTAATTAGACTATTGCTTTGTTTCCACTAACAGATTTTCTACCATTACCTTCTGGAGATCAACATTAGAATCATTGTTTTAATTACGGCTGTTTGAGGTTGCTAATAGCAGATGTTATTAATGTTTTTATTAACCACTGAAGCTGCAAGTTAGGACAACACTTTGCAGTTGCACGCTGGTTTGTGGTGAGAACCCCTACCCAAATGGCACCAAAGCTTTAGAGGATGAATTGATGCCTGGGTTTATTTTGGAGGGAAGTTGCTAAGCACTTTCTAATTTGTTTTTATTTTTTCCTATTTTCGGTTACTGTTGTAAAATAAACTTCTTAGTTGAAGTTCCAATGTTTGCTAATGTTCATTTGAAAGACATTCAAATGATGGAGACAGTGGGTTCCCATTTGTAGCATTTCTGTAAGATACACAGTGTAGCATATCTGTAACATATGTTCTAAAGGATATGTTCTGTTTTGATGAGCTAACTGAAGACTAAAGATATCTTAGATATTTATCCTTTGGCTTTTGTCTTAAAGTTTTATTATTTTTATACAGAAATCTCACTGGCTAATTTTTAATCTGTCTTCTGATTGTACTGTTCTTAGGCAATGTAAAAAGTAGGGATACATAAATGTGGTTTGATAATGGCTTAAGGTGTACTAGAAAATGTGGACTTAGGGCTCTTGTTTAGACCTGTAGTTAATCAGTGTTACATGCATGAGAATTTCATGGCTGCTTTAATTTTGCTTTATTAGACAGCTTTCAGGAGAGCTTCTGCAGCTAGTGTTTGTGTCCAGCTCAGCCAGAATCACTGCCAGGTGCCAGGAGCCCAGAGCAGACCCAGCAAGGCACATCTGGTCCTGTTCATCTGGTATGTAACATTCCCTGTGGCTTTGGGAGAGCCACAGATAATGAGTTATGCTTCAAATATTCATAAGTGCAACAGCTTAGAGTGTGGGCCTTATGCATATTGAAAGTTTTTTTCCTCCTTCAGTGATTTTGGCAATTAACTGGAACTTAAAAGCAGACATAGCTATACCATCCTCTCCTGATAGAAGTGCACTTGTACAGGAGTGTTTGCCAGTGTAGCTGTGTCAATAAAATATTTTTTTTAAAAAATCACGCTTGTATGTGAAAGTAGGCTGGAAAATTTCCAAGTGCAACTGAAGTCTACTTGGGAAGCTTATGAATTTTCTCCAAAAAGCAATATAATACTTAGAGTAACAGTCCTCCAGAACCATTTTATGTACTGGCCATTTGCTGTTCAGATAGGTGAGGTTTTCCCAGGCTTACACTGCCATTTCCCATGGCTTTCTCACATGTTAGTATCCTGTACCCTCTTGCAAAAGAAGAAGTATTAAAGATTTTAATTGTATTTTAACACTTGTTCCCACAGGATATGTCTACAAGAAATCTTTCTTATTCTCTTTATTTCCTGGGATTTTGCTTTCTGTATTCAGACTTGTGGTGTTGCAGGCTACCCCTCACAGTAATGTTTGCAATATTTCAGCTTCTGTAGGAATAGGTCAGAAGGGAGATACATTCCATGGCTTTTCCCCTTCCTTTTTTTCCACCTCTCCATCCTGCCCTACTCCTTAATGCAAACTGCAGCATTAGCTCAGGGCAAGGCCCTTTTGCAGAGCACTGGGCTTGCAGGTGTGTGTCAAGGTTTCATCCAATAGAACAGAACTGTAACACTTGTCTCAGCTCCAGGGTTTGTTTGGGGTTTTAAAGAATGATCAGAAGGGGTGTGCAGCCTCCCCTGATCCATCTGGCTTGCATCAGCATCCCTGCTTTGCAGCAGGAGCAGGCACTCCCCTGAGGAGGCTTGGCTGCCTCCACTGACTCAAAGTGCCAGTTTTGGCTCACCAGGGAGTGTCTGAAGGGGTTTTAAACAGGCTGCATTGTAAATCCATTCTTTACCCATTAACCCATCATTTTATTTTCCAGAAATGAAGTTCTTGATGGAGGGTAAGGCCTTTGCTAGATTTTTGTCAATGGGACATTTCAAATAGATTTGTGTCCTGCAAACATCCAATTCCTCATTTTTTCCTGTGAAAGCAAGTATTTACCCCCTGACTTCCACCTGTGCTTTGTCCAAAAAGGAATCCAGCCTTTTGAATAGAACAGATTGAATTCCTTTGTAACTGCAGGTGTGGCAGGTGGAGGCAAGGATTAAAGGGTAAAACCAACTGTTTGGGCAGACCTGTCATAGCTTTTGCATCATTTCTGCATCTTGAAGTGGAAGGAAATATTCAGGTACAAAACCACTGAAGTGTAATTGGGATGGAGGTTCAGTGTGAGACTGGGCTGGGTGTGCTGTGTCCCTGCCTGGCATGGCAGCTCCAACTGATGCCAGTTCCAGGTGGATGTTCTCATTCTAATACCACAATATCCATGCAGAAACTTCCACCTCAAGAGCTCCACACATTTCTTACACAGTGACAAATCTACAGCTCTGAGTGATCAAAGAATTCAGTGACAGCTGTATTGAGTCCTGGTTTTGCAAATAATTAGACATCCCCATAATTTATAACATGAGTAGTTCTGATTGTACTGAGACTGCTCATATTAAATCTCAGCATGTATAAAAGCTTGCAGGGTTATTTTCTCACCAGTTTTGTATAGAGATGTCCTGTTAGCATATCCTTAGAAATATATTTGTCATCATTAACCAGGTATTTCCTCATTGATTGTTCTAGGCTGCAGATAATGACTGTGTAAAATAATCAGTCTAGGGTAGTTTTTTAATATGCACCTGAATTAGTTTATTAGAAGCTAATATTTTAGTATTTTGTTCTAAATACCCTGTTCCTATTCAATGCTGAGTTGAACAGGTATGAGCAGAGCTATCAAGGAATAATTTCACTGTAAGGTGTTAATTGCTCATAGTGAATTAATTTTCAAGTCAGTCTTGCATAGTGAGCTGTAGTTTCAGACAGGAAATGCTGTAAGGAGAAAGAAATTTTAAATTAATTTAATGCTTAGTTCATTTAAGATGAGCCTAAATTAAATTAATTTTAAAAGAATTTGCCTTTAGTCATGAGAGGTTACTTAGACCTGAAAGGTTCTGTGTAGTTACATACCTGGATGGCTTTGCAAATGGTGACATTTGAAAAAGAGCCAGTAGTGATGCTCCAGTGCAGCTGTGTGGGTTTTTCAGGAAGCTGTCCCTGACCTGAGCTGATGGAGTCAGGGCTGGGCCCCAGACTGAGCACCAAGGCAGTGAGCACACAGTTCCTAATCCATAAGAATCAGCCTGGTTTGTTTTTACCATCTTCATCTCCTGGGAAATCTGACATTTCCTTCCCCGCTTCTGAAAGTGGCATTTTGCTCTCCTGGGTGTCAGGAGTTTTGTGTTCTGCCTTCCCCCTGGCTCTCAAATCAGCACTTCCACATGTGCTCCATCCCAAGCTGCTGTGCATGTTTGTGTAACCCCTGCATTAAAACACACACCTGCTCATTCACTTGAAGGTTGCATAGTATTTTCTAATCTCTTGCAGCAAAGTGGAAGGGAAAAAGCAAAGTTCAGAGATATGAATGTGCTGGTAATTGCAGGTATATGGAGTAAGCTCATAGTCCAGCTTTTGTAGCCATGGATTTGACTTTTCTGAAGCACAGTTCTGGGAGCCAGTGTAATGAACACATTTCAAGTTAAATTTTTTTACATTTCTAGCAAGTATTCCTGTTAAATTATCCAAATAACTCTGTAGAGTAAGGAGCTAGAAAAACAAGATTTCAAAGGATTTTTTTTTTTTTTCCATCTAGAAGTCATTGTAACTTGAGCACAGTTGTGCATTTATAGAATTGTGATGATAAACTCTGTTTAAGTGCAATATATAACACTGAAGGAGCATTTAATTGTGTTTATGAAGCACTGCTTGGGTACATGGGGTTGTTGACAGGCTTGTGGTTGGGTAATAATCAGGGTATCTCTGCTGATTATGGGATTAGGCTTGAAGCACAAATGTCTTTGATTTGTGAGGTAGATCTGCTTTGTGAGTGAAGCCTGGGCAGCCTGTGGAAGGCTTGTGGTGTCCTCCACTACCCAGCCAGCATGCTTCCATCCTCTGGCAACTTCTGCAAATTCAATTTTGGAAAGAACAATGAGGGATTCTGCACACCCAGCTTCCTTTCCAAGTAGTCTTTGTGTTCTAGAATGAACAAGCCAGTACTGATGTGTGTAAAGATAAAGGGTTTTAGCATTGAGTGCCAAATACTCTGGTCAGAGTTGAAAACACATAGAATATCTCATTAAAATCAATGTTGACTTGTAAGAGATTCTTTAAATGAGAAAAGTACAGAAGTGTCCCATAAATGTTTAACACTTTAGCTGCTGTTAGCATTAGTATCAATACTGTAAGGTATTTGAATGGTGTAAAGCCATTAGATGCTGGCACAGCACAAAAAGTGATATACAGAGGAGTTGTAGCAGTGGTTATCTGTAGTTCTTTTATTTCAGATATTTCCATGTTCCTGGCACAGCTTCTGTCCTCTCTGGCAGTGAAGCTGTCACCCTGCTCTAGAGAGGGAGGGTTCAGGCACCAGTGTTGGGACTGCCCAGAAGCACCAGGTTAAAAAAATGCAGAGGAAAAGAACAATTGCTGGGAAGGCAGTAGGATGGAGATCACTGCACAGCTGGGGTCTCCCTCCATGTATGCCAAGGGTAAAAGTGGGCTGGCAAAGAGTTTGCCATTATTATATTTTAAATCAGTCCCTTGGCAGGCTCAGGCACCATGGTTGGATGTTGCTGGAGACCTGCAGTGCCACTGTTGCCTCCTCAATGGAGGTGACAGCCTAAAAGTTGATGCTCTTTGGCACTTTTCCAGAAAAAGTAAGAAAGAATAAATTTGACAAGTATTACAGTTAGTAACATCAATCCATTAATATTTGCTTTGGCTGCATGTTGTGGGTTCCCTGTAAAAAATGTTAAAAACTTCAAGTGGCTTGAGGAGCACTGAGCAGCTACAGGAATTCTGGCACATTGGGGCAGATGGGGTTGTGTAAACTTTAATTAGGCCTTGGGAAGCTGAACCACACTGATAAATAAAACATGTCAGCAGCCTCACCCAACTGGTTGCAGTTCCAGTTCTGTGCATATTAGTGATTCAGAAGGGTGAGACTTACCATGCAAAACACACCTGAAATGAACTTGAAAATAGCTTTTCCTTCATCTGGTGTTGAATGAACTTTAAAAGAGGAATTTCCCCCTGCCTGCTGAGTCTGTAGGAATTAATTATTTCATGATTCTGAAATGCCTGGTGCATTCCTATAGTTGATGTATTTGCTGATTTTTAAATGGAATTAGGTTTTGTAAATATTTTGTCAGCCCCATTTCAGTGGGTGTCCAGTTTCTATAAAACCTGAAGAAATGCTGTGTCAAACCCTGTGTTTAGCCATGGTTTATCCTGTAGCATCTCCAGCACTAACTAACAGCAATTACAGATTGAGGGAGCAGGGAGAGACTGCTTAGGGCTGTTTTTCCAGGTAACATTGCATGTGTTTTCCTACTTCTAACATGGAAATAGAATTTCCTCCAAGTACATTTTCCAGCATAAAAAATGAAATAATTTGTGGTGCCAAACACTTCAAACTGTATTGCTAAGCATTGCCTCCTCTTATTGCACTAGTTTTAAAATTCAGTTTTTGATCATTTACTGTCCTTTTGATGGCCTTTTAACCAGGATTTCCCCCAAAACCATTTTCTACTGCTGAAAAATGCTTGTCCCCGTTTGATTACATCACAGAAACCTCAAAGATATTTACCACAGCTTGTGGGTGAAAGAAGCACTATGTGGGGTGAAAAAATAAATCAAAATAATCAGATTTGGTATGTTTCAGAAATCAAAGATTAATTTATGATCAAGATGTTATTGTGTATTCTTATGGAGTGAAATACTGGAATATTCTTTTATAAGAAAATTTAACCCATGTAGTATTAAATTCTGCAATTAAATCTATCTCTATAATTGATATATAATAAAATAAATTATTACCCAAATTTTAAATTTAATTGAAGAGCACACAATGAGCTATGTAAAAGTATGATCTTCACTTTGTGAATCATTTTTTAAGAAGCACTTTCCTATTACCAACTAGCATGTGAATGAATTTTAGATTCTCTCATTTATGGTCTGTAAAAGTGACATTTCTTCAATCTGTCTGTTAATGGGTGAATCCATCCTACAAATGCTGAAACAAAGCACCTTATACTATGCTGCTTAAATTTGCTTGTAATTGCACCTTTTGTTATCTGCAGAGTTTTCTTAATGAGTATTCTTGTGTGAAATCATTGTTCCCTGTGGGTCTGGGGGACAGTTAACCAACCTACAGCATCATTTCCTTAGTTTCTCTTTCAATACAACATTGTATTGTGAGTTTAGTGCTTCAGAAATAAATGCTAATTTCATTTGTCTGCTTTGGTTGTGTATCATTTATTTATCTTATCCAAAATCAAATCAAGTCCATTGTAAAACTCTAAGAATTTGAAAATTGAGAGTATTTTTTCTAGAAGCCTAATTCTTTCCCGGCTGAAGTAGTCCCACTTCATATTTAGCTATTTTACAGTAATTTTGGCTTCAAAATAAGCTATGTTTTAATTTGAAACATTCTTTAACCTTGGGAATGCATTTATGTATAGCAGCTAACCTTGATGCTTGTTGCTTTAATTATTTAATTATTAATATGTTCATGTATCTTGGAGGAGCAGCAGCAAAGAAACAATGAAACAGCACCTCTTCTGAGGTGTTGGAAGTTACACATCTTGCACTGGTTTTGTACTATAAAAATTTCTATTCCTGTAGGAGTCATTGTCGGTCGGAGGAAGGGGACCAGGACACCAGCTGGTTCATCCCAGGTCCGGTTTATTGAAGAAAGCATCAAACACTTATACAGCAAATAATAAGCTCATGAATATTCTGTAATTTACACCACCCATTGGCCACACCACAACATCAGCTCTTCCCCATTCCTTAGGGGTTACATCTGTCTTTTCTCATGTCTCTTTCA